GAAGACGTGCCCGACCTTTGCAGCATGGGCGGCTACCTCCGACTTTGGGTCTAGCCTATCTACCGCCCGCTGATGCTCTGATTCTTGCGCAGATCACCTGCACGCGGTGGGCATCGTCTAAACCGACGGTCAAACGGTAGACGGTGAAGTAATGCAAGTGGAACCAGGTTACCTATCGATTACTCGAACGCTTCATGCCTCTTACCCCACACTGTAGCAACAGATGTGAAAGTAGTGGGCTCTGGGGGCTGTATTTGCTCGTTTTTGGGATAAGGTCGCTTAGCCTGTACATTTTGGATATATCGAAACGTGCCGCTGATATCTCTCAGTCTGCTGTTTGATAAATTACAACTTCTTCCCTCCTGCCACCAATGAGGCAGCCGTTTTTTGTTGATACTCCTGCATGCATTCTATTCTGAATTCCCGTCTCCACTCATGTGATCGCTCTCCGCCCCCCCTCTCCTGATGTAATTTCTTCAGAAACGTGTACACTTGCCAACACTTCCGACCAGATAATCAGGCTGTGCTTCTCGGCAGTGCAGACTTCGATCACGTGAACTGCGCCTGTGTCGGTGACCTTGACTTTGACGGAAGGCCGGAGATTGTTATTGGTACCTTTGGCAAACAGCTGCTGCTCTATCGGTGGGTCGACGAAAAAGCATCCGATCCGGCGGCGGCGACTGACAAAGTCTTGCCTCGGGGTCATTATGAGTAAGTCAACTGTTTTGAATCTTCGAATTACCTGTTTATTTCAGTTTATTTGGTCAGAGTAATAAGCAGTGCCTTCAAAAACCCTATCGTTTACATGCCGGTGCGCCATATACTTTTCTGAATGAATGGTTATAAATAGTCATTTTAAACTAGCATTTACAAACTGTGAATAGTATGTTTTTTTTATCAACTAACTCTTGTCTGTAGTTTGTGTGGAATAGTTCGAGTTCATACCGTCGAGGAACAACCGGGGACCCATATAATTATACAAACGTTTCTTAGAGAGCTGTAGGGACGTCGTCTGTACGATTGATTGTGGGAGGGTATTTCATTGTTCCATTGCCCGTTGTGTGAAGAATTCAGGGCGGAGATTAAGTCTGGACATTTTCGTGTGCAGCTTCATTGCGTATCCACGAAAATGAGGCGAGGGGTAAAATCCTTCTCAGGGTCGTTCGTTATTTTATAAATAAAGATAAAATCCCCTCTTTGCTGCCTGTAGTACAGAGGGAATAAACTTAAGCATTACCCTCTTTCCATGTAAAAGTGGCCCTTTAGGCCGTTGTCGCACAACGTTTGTTTTCTGTATTTTTTTCCTTTTTCCACGCTACTACATTTTACCGATTTTTGTTTCAGTAGTATGTCTAGTGACAGTAATATTTCGTCAGCTCTACGAGAGTACACATACTGGAAGCCTTCTACTTTTAACGTACTTTGCGTACTTTTTACTCTGCTGATAGTAAAAACTTAGTTAACTGTACACCCGTCTGTCTTTTGGGATTTAGCCATCCTGGTTGATGCCTCGCGAGCTCGGACCAACCGAGTGTGCATTTTCTAAGGCTACTTATTGTGATGTTACTAATAAAGTTTCAGTAAAATATCTTTATGTTATAGTATTCCGGCAAAGACAGGCACCCTAGGATAGCTATTTCTGGCTTTATTGACCCTCGTCAGTTAGGGGTAGCCTACTCTAGTGTGGCCGCTGAAATTGCTGCCACACTCGAGTTTCGAACTCGCGTCTCGCCGATCAGGGGCAAACGTCCTAACCACTGGGCCACGAGTCTGTTGTCATGCCAGTTGTTAATCGTACACCGATCTGTCTTTCAGGATGTACCCATCCTAGTACCAGAAATAGCTATCCTAGGGTGCCTGTCTTTGCCGGAATACTACTATAGTAAAACGAGTTTACATGTCATATACAGTAGATGGGTTATCTCATGAAGCCTTAATTGAAATTCTGAAATGTGTTTTCGATTGTATACGTTTACTCAGTCACAGCAAGATGCCGACTTTTCAACAGGCTTCTTTTTAAAGTGGAACCGTTAAAGACAACAAGGTTCGAAATGGCCATTTCTGGCTTATTAGCCGTTACCAGCAAATCACACCCAATCGAAGGGTGGCGACCCCCGAGAGTGGTTATTGAGCGCAGCACTCTACCATTTCACAACGGGCCCGTTATTTTTGCCGATTGCGGTCGCAAATAGGATGGAACTGTGGTGTTCATCCGATCTATCCCATTAGGGATTATACTCGTCTGGGTGTGCCTTGAGGCTCCTTCTTGAGTGATCGCAGGCAGTTGCTGAGCAACTTCAGACATATAATGCAGTGGAATCGACAAAGCAAAGGGAGACCGGAGAGGCCATTTCTGGTTTGTTAGTCGTCATCAGCCAGTCATACTCAATCTCAAAGGTTGCAACCCCGAAATTCGAACCCAGGACCTTTGGTCATTGAGCTGAGTATTTGTTGGGACGCCGCGCGTCCCATGATGAGTCAACGCACTCAACGGCGTCGC